TAATTATTATTTGTAATAAATTATAACAAAAAATTTAATAAATGTTTAGCTAAAGAGGTTGTTTATAAAAAAAAAAAAAAAAAAAAATCTACTATAGTACTTGTACTAATCAAGTATTCTTACTTTCTTTAACTATTATAACTTTTGTAACTACAATTTTTTTTGTTAATTTTAAAATTTTTCAAATAAATATAAAGATTTAATATATTCTTATACAAAGTTCAGTATTGCTTATTATTTTCAAAAATAGATATATTTATTAGAGTATAATATTTTATATAAAATAATAATATATAATTTTACTAATTAGGCTATACAAAGTTAATTTCTTAGTTTACATAATCTAGTTAAGTCAAAATTTATAGATCTTTAAAAAAAAATTTTATATATAATTTATTTTAAAATCTTCAAGTCAGTTTTTTAAAAAAAATTTCATATATTTTATATTTTTCTTTAAAAAAAATTATAAAATTTTTTATAATTTAAAATAAAAAGCTAGGCTATCAGGTTACTTTTAAAATTTTATGTTATAAAAACTAAGAAATTAACTTTGTATAGCTTTATATAGAACAATATTTTTAGATTTAATTTTTTTTTCAATTTAGCAGTTATGCTATAACTTTATTTAGATTTGTTTTTCATTTAAAAATATTATTATTTAGTTATATACTATCTAATAACTAATTTTTTAAGCTATAACTCACTCAGTTATCTTATAGATATCTATATGTAATTTGTTATAATAACTTTTATCCTATATTGAAATAGTTTATAATCTATAATCTGCAAATCAAAATAGGAAGGATACTATAGGCTATCATAACTGATTTTTAGATTTAACTAACTATTATTCTCTTCTTTACTTCCTTAGCTATACTATCTAACACTATTTTAAGACTAGAATTACAATTTTCTATATTCTTATTTACTCTATAATTTGGTTTTTTCCTTGTGATCACTTTTTTTGAGTTATTCTTTTTTTTTTCTTTTCATAAGTATTTTTCTTTTCTAAAGATTTTTCCTTCTTCTCCTATACTTCTATATTCTTGCATTAGTTTTTTCATATTTCTTTATATACTAGTTCTATTTAGATATTTTAGAAGAGACTTCAAGATTTGATTATTATTCTTTTTAAACTGATGATATTTTTAATTTTTTCTGCATTTTCTTCATTAAGAATATCTTTTATTCATTTTTTCCTTTTCTAAAGCCTTTCTTCCTTTTATAATAGAAAGTTTAATATAAACTTATTAAATTCTAATCTTTTTTTTTCTTTTTATTTTTATTAAGCCATTTTTATGTTTCTTCTTTAATTTTTTTGTATACTAGATATGTTTTTTCATAGGTGATTATATATCTAATTATTTTCTTTTTCTTAGCATATCTTTTGTATAAGCTATTTTTATATAACTGTAGTTTTCTATGATTTAAGATTTTGATTGTTGAAAGTAGATTTTGATATATTTGATTTTGAATAGTCATAAATAGTTTACTTCTAGATTTTGATATTGCATATGACAACTTTTAAGAATACCTTTAAATATTTTCTAGTTTTGTTTTTAAATTCTTGCTTAGTTTTCTTCATCATTTTTCTTTCTTAACTATATCTACTTTGCTTTGTATATTGTTTGAACTACCTTTTTAATAAAAGCTCTCAATAGAGTCTCTAGACTTAGGCTTTTTTACTTTGGAATATACTTTATATTCTTGTTACTGATATTATTTAGTTCTATACTTTGTGCTTTATATATTTCTTCTTTTGTAAGCATATCTGCTATATTATTATAGGTGTTTTTTGAATGACTTTTGACTTTAGTAAATACTAATTGAACTAATTTTTTTTTTTTTTTTAAACTTAGATGATCTTGTCCTTCATTTTATTAAAAGACATATTAAATAAGTACTATAACAAATACAGAAAATTAAGACTAATTAATTTTAAGACTACTCTCTTCTTTACAATTCTGAACTCACTTAGCTGCCTACTTGATGCTCAAATATGATCTGCTACAGCAGTAATTTTTTTTCTAAAACTATATATATATTAAAGTATGTGACCTTAATTCTGATTAACAGAAGGCTACTACTAGCTATATCAAAAAAGCCTAGTTATTTGTTTTTAAATTTTAGCTATTCTGCATACTCTCTTTTTTGGATCTAATTTTTTACTTTATTATTTGCTATCATAAGTATTCTTTTTCTTTTATCTGATTTTGTTTCTTTCTTTTGGAAGTTTATATCTGAGATATTCTCTTTATTTGCTATTCTCCTTCTTTTCTCTTTACTTTGTTTTCTCTTTTTTATTTGGAGATCAATTCTTTTTCTTTTTTACTAATTCAGTATAACTTCATAACAGAATTTTTATAGTCTTTTATAGAAGTTTAACCAAAAGGAATCAATAAACCAGATTACTACTTAATTTGCTTTAAATTTAGATACCAAAAGGTCTATTAATTCTTTGATACGTTTCTTGTTAGTTAGACTATAGAGATGCAACTTTCTTCTTAGAACCTTCTTTTCTGATACAGCACCCAAAAAAATCTTAGCTAGGTCTTCACTTGTTATTAAAAGATCTTATTTTTCTAAGATCTTGCATCTGACTTCTTCTATAATTATCATTTCTATGTGGTTCTAAATCCCTTGATATATAATATATTCTGCTAAATAACTAAATATTTCCTTAGTTATATAGCATACTATGTATGTTTCTTTTTTGTAAAGATCTAATTTTCTTTGAAAGCAAACATCACATGTTGGTAGTAGCTTGTTTAAACATTTTACTCTAAACATTAGCACTTTGCTTCTTTTAAGACTTGTGCATTTCCTGCTTTAGTAGTTTTTGAGTATACTCTATAGGCTTTTCTAATTGATGCCTTTATTACTATTACTTCCTAATCTGACATATATTACATCTCTTGAGCTACTAAGTTCTGCTCATTTAGTTTTATATATTATTGCTATTATAATGTTTACAAAAGATCTAATTAAGCAATCTATAAGCTTACTCTCCTATTTTGAAAAGACTTTTAGATTATCTGTATTCATATTATTAGTTATAACAGATGCATTCGAACTCAGACTCTCTTTTGCTAATACATCTACTCTATTATTCTAGATGTTATTACTATATCCTTTGACTTTTGTTAAATTAAGGCTGATATATTTTGCCTTGTAGTAATCCTTGATTTGTCATATTAGACTGCAGTTCTTGATCTTAAACATTTCTCAAACAGTACTTACTGGTCCTGTAGCTTGCAGACCTTCTATAGCCACTTTACTATGAAAATATTTAGACTTGAATTATATGGTACTACCAAAGCTACTGTTCAGATCACACTAAGCTTAACATGGGTTAAAGAAAGCTAATCTACTAAACTACTACTAAAACTAATACGATCTATTCTAAGAAGGACTGAACTGACCTGATCCTAGGATGGACCGAAGAACCAACAGTCTGAACTGAATTGATTAACAGCCTTAATAATAATCATATAATAATAATATGATAAACATATTTTGCAAAAAACTAAAGTTTTAGTAAAGATATTCACACCTCACTAATTGGACATCCACCTTTTTTTTTAAATTATAGATCCTTCGTTTGATGTCATTTTTTATGAATGAAGAACGAAAAACATTAAAGTGATTACATTTATCATAAAACATACTATATTCAACAATTAATATCTTTATTGTTGACTTTGTTGAGATTTCACCTATAATTTAAGACTTTAATTGGAATTTTCGATTGTCATATAAAGGCCTCAATAAGATTCGACTTTAGTTTAGCTTTCGACTAAGGTTTTAATTTTAGGAAATGATCATCCCGAATCGAACCTTGATAAAATTCGAAACTAAAACTATGTTCGAAATTCAAGGGTTTCGGTTACATGTATAGCTTTGATATAATCTATACTCTTGAGCTTTTCAAGACGTTGCACCCTTGTCGAACCCTAACCTTGATGAGTCTAAGATTATCCTTTCCAAAATACTTGGTATTCGGCGCTAACCACCTGACAAGATGAGCAGATGCTCTGGTTTATGAATTAAAAGTCCGAGGAAATAGGTTAAGTTCATTACTGCACTAACCACCCGACTAGACGAGCGGGTGCTCTGGTGAAGTTGTAAATCTATGAACTTAATTTAAGGCTCTAATATTTGTACTAGGAAAACTTCTTTCTGGATCTTTAGGCCGTAGTTTCTTCCAGGTTTAAATATTAGAAACCGGCGCCAAGGTGCACATACTCACATTAGGGTTTTAGGTTAAATTCATTGTTAGTTACATATAAGAAATTTACTAGTTTCAGGGGTTAGCTTCGCTTAATTAGTTATTTCTTATAAGAAACTTGTATTTGGTATAGTTTACTTCTTTCCCCCCGGTCTATTGCTGACACCACAACGTGGTGATCGGGTGAACGAATTTTTTCAAAATTCGGCCAAGATCAGCTTTAAATAAGTATGATAAAGTTAAATAAACTTTTTTTTGGCCCGCAAAATTTTAGTTAGGTTTATTCTATATTAAATATTGGCTGTCTTTTATATAAAAAGTAATTTGTTAATAGCAAAGTAACTTTGACGACAAACTCAGTACTACTTTTACTTAGTGGACAATTACGAATTTAATTTGACTATGATAGTAAATTTTTTTTTTTTTTGGAAAATCTAATAATTTAAAAGTTTATTCGAAATAATTTAATTTAAAAATTTAAAACGTTAGTCTATAACATGTTACAGTAATTATGTTACGAAAAATTTTAACTGAAATAGTCACAGCAGAAGTAATGCCCGATTTTTCAATGCGAAGATCGTGCCTTACTTTCTGCAAACCCATGGGAAGAATCTCTACCATAAATCCCATAAATTGGGATTAAATATGATTGTAGATACTAGAAATAAATCTATCTTTATAAAATTAAAAATGTGGTACTTATTGTGAACTATCGTATATGCAATATTAATAAAAATACATAGAACACCTACCGAAAAAGTATTTTTTTTTCTTAATCTATCCCTCGCATTGATAATTCCATTATTACATTTACAATCATACCTATTGTATAAACTGAAATTAAATAATATCCCCAAGCGCGGGACATACGGTATTCGTTTCGTGGCAGGTATATGAGAGCAGAAGATAATGTTATCGATAAACCAACTAATGATACCAACAATGTTGGTTCAACACTAATTTTGTAAGGAACCCCAGTTTTGGTTGTCACATAAGTACCACTCAAGCCAATGCCTAAAAGAATATCTACATTATGAACCGTATGAATAAATGTAAAAAAAAAAAAAAAAATGTTAAATCAAAAAAATTATATTAATGAAACATACTCAACATTGGACCACCAAAGCATGCACTTATGGCCATCATAGGGCGCCCGGTTTTTGCAATAGTAATATTTTGCCCTTTAAAATAAAAAATATATTAAGTAATTATGTAAAATGGTTTGGCATAATCTACAATTATTTTGGGGATTATTTCAACCATACCATCGCAAATATCGTTAGACCAAGAATTGCATTACTTAGTCCCATAATTAAGCCTAAAGCCTAGGTCAAAAAATATAGAATCAAGTCATTGTACTTAGGTTCATGTTATTTTATGATGTAGCGCCTACCTAGTGATGGGGAAAATGCGCATTTTATAATAACATGCGCATGAAACGTAAAATGCGCATGATACCGCATGATATAAATTCTCTTTTTT